AACCATAAACAAGACCAAAAGACAACCCTAGAATGGGAGAAGATATTTGCAAATGAAGCAACTGACAAAGGATTAATTTCTAAAATTAACAAGCAGCTCATGCAGCTCAATAACAAAAAAACAAACAACCCAATCCCAAAACGGGCAGAAGACCTAAACAGAGATTTCTCCAAAGAAGATATACAGACTGCCAACAAACACGTGAAAGAATGCTTGACATCATTAATCATTAGAGAAATGCAAATCAAAACTACAATGAGATATAATCTCACACCGATCACAATGGCCATCATCAAAAAATCTAGAAACAATAAATGCTGGAGAGGGTGTGGAGAAAAGGGAACACTCTTGCACTGTTGGCAGGAATGTAAATTGATACAGCCACTATGGAGAACAGTATGGAGGTTCCTTAAAAAACTAAAAATAGAACTACCATATGACCCAGCAATCCCACTACTGGGCATATACCCTGAGAAAACCATAATTCAAAAAGAGTCATATACCGAAGTATTCATTGCAGCTCTATTTACATTAGCCAGGACATGGAAGCAACCTAATGGTCCATCAACAGATGAATGGATAAAGAAGATGTGGCACATATATACAATGGAATATTTCTCAGCCCTAAAAAGAAACGAAATTCAGTTATTTGTACTGAGGTGGATGGACCTACAGTCTGTCATACAGAGTGAAGTAAGTCAGAAAGAGAAAAAGAAATACCGTATGCTAACACATATATATGGAATCTAAAAAAAAAAGAAAAAAAAGGTCACGATGAACCTAGGGGCAAGACGGGAATAAATACACAGACCTACTAGAGCATGGACTTGAGGATATGGGTAGGGGGAAGGGTAAGCTGTGACAAAGTGAGAGAGTGCCATGGACATATATACACTACCATACAAAAAACAGCTATCTAGTGGGAAGCAGCCGCATAGCACAGGGAGATCTGCTCGGTGCTTTGTGACCACCTAGAGCGGTGGGATACGGCGGGTGGGAGGGAGGGAGATGCAAGAGGGAAGAGATATGGGAACATATGTATATGTATAACTGATTCACTTTGTTATAAAGCAGAAACTAAGACACCATTGTAAAGGAATTATACTCCAATTAAAATGTTAAAAAAAAAAAAAATCTTCCACAAACAAAAGCACAGGACCAGATGGTTTCACAGGAGAATTCTATCCAACATTTAGAGAAGAGCTAACACCTATCCTTCTCAAACTCTTCCAAAATATAGCAGACGGAGGAACACTCCCAAACTCATTCTATGAGGCCACCATCATCTTGACACCAAAACCAGACAAAGATGTCACAAAAAAAGAAAACTACAGGCCAATATCACTGAAGAACACAGATGCAAAAATGCTCAAGAAAATACTAGCAAACAGAATCCAACAGCACATTAAAAGGATCATATACCATGATCAAGTGGGGTTTATCTCTGGAATGCAAGGATTCTCCAATATACAGAAATCAATCAGTGTGATACAGCATATTAACAAACTGAAGGAGAAAATCCATATGATCATCTCAATAGATGCAGAAAAAGCTTTTGACCAAATTCAACACCCATTTATGATAAAAACCCTTCAGAAAGTGGGCATAGAGGGAACTTACCTCTATGAATGTAAGTAAGGTACCTCTATGAAGGTACCTCTATGAAATTAGAACACTCCCTAACACCATACTCAAAAATAAACTCAAAATGGATTCAAGACCTAAATGTAAGGTCAGACACTATCAAACTCTTAGAGGAAAACACAGGCAGAACACTCTATGACATAAATCATAGCAAGATCTTCTTTGACCCACCTCCTAGAGAAATGGAAATAAAAACAAAAATAAACAAATGAGACCTAATAAAAGTTAAAAGCTTTTGTATTGCAAAGGAAACCATAAACAAGACGAAAGGACAACCCTCAGAATGGGAGAAAATATTTGCAAACGCTTCTGACAAAGGATTAATCTCCAAAATATACAAGCAGCTTGTGCAGCTCAATATGAAAACAACAAAACAATCCAATCCAAAAATGGACAGAACACCTAAATAGACATCTCCAAAGAAGATATACAGATTGCCAAGAAACACATGAAAGGATGTTCAACATCACTAATCATCAGACAAGTGCAAATCAAAACTACAATGAGGTACCACCTCACACCGGTCGGAATAGCCATCATGAAAAAATCTACAAACAATAAATGTTGGAGAGGGTGTAGAAAAAATGGAACCCTCTTGCACTGTTGGTGGGAATGTAAATTGATACAGCCCCTATGGAGAACAGTATGGAAGTTCCTTCAAAAACTAAAAATGGAACTACCATATGACCCAGCAATCCTACTACTGGGCATACATACCCTGAGAAAACCATAATTCAAAAAGAGTCACGTACCACAATGTTCACTGCAGCACTATTTACAATAGCCAGGACATGGAAGCAACCTAAGTGTCCATCGACAGATGAAAGGTTAAAGAAGAGGTGGCACATATATACAATGGAATATTACTCAGCCCTACAAAGAAACAAAATTGAGTTATTTGTAGTGAGGTGGATGGACCTAGAGTCTGTCATACAGAGTGAAGTAAGTCAGAAAGAGAAAAACAAATACTGTATGCCAACACATATTTATGAAATCTTAAAAAAAAAAATTGGTTCTGAAGAACCTAGGGGCAGGACAGGAATAAAGACGCAGACATAGAGAATGTCCTTGAGGACATGGGGAGGGGGAAGGGTAAGCTGGGATGAAGTGAGAGAATGACACGGGCATATATACACTACCAAATGTAAAATAGATAGCTAGTGGGAAGCAGCTGCATAGCACAGGGAGATCAACTCGGTGCTCTATTTCCAACTAGAGGGGTTGGATAAGGAGGGTGGAAGGAAGATGCAAGAAGGAGGAGATATGGGGATATACGTATACGTATAGCTGATGCACTTTGTTATACAGCAGAAACTAACACACCACTGTAAAGCAATTATACTCCACCAAATATGTTAAAAAAAAAAAGAAGAAATATAAGGTAGACCTTACATAACTGATTCGGTTATGTGGACTATATTTAATTATATAAATTAAACCAAAGACTTTGAAAAATTGATGGATTAGTCAATTTTAGAAGAGTCCTGAAGTTTTAAGATATACGAAAGTAATATGCACATTTTAAAACTCTTTTTATTCCAGAAGCATTCTAATCATTTATTCTATTTTAAAAATAGAATTGAATACCACCAAGTTACTCGAATGGCAAGAGAGTTAAAATAGAAAAGTTACAAAGATTTCAAAGAGAGGCCGACAGATCAAAATCTTTTCGTTTTAATGTTTTTAAAAATGTATTTTGCAATTATAAATTGGTTTTTACTGTAGTAATATTTTAAATGGTCCCAAAATATAGGAATGGTTATGAAAATTATAATATATATATACAACATTATGTAGCCATCGAAAATGTTTATGAAGATCTTATAACATCATGAGAAGATGTTTATTGCAATGGTAAGTTAAAAGAGCAGAACTCAAAATTCCATATATAGTATAACCCCAGCTAAATTTTAAAAATCATTTAGAAGAAAAAAATATTAAAAGGAAATATATCGAAATGTTAACAGGAGATGTTTGAGTAGTGGAGAAAGGGCTTGTTTTCCTATTTTTTTCTCTTTTCTTTATGACATTTACAATGGAGAAAGTATAACATTAATTTTTTCTAAGTTCTATACAAAGATAATTTTATAAGGTCACTTAATCTATCCATTACTGAGGTAACAGAAAACAGCATTTAAACAAGTCATCAAGCTATCACATTTTAAGTGTAAAATTCGGTAAAAATTGGAAGAAAGCAGGCAAATTCTCACCTCAAGGCCGATCATTTTAACTTGACAACTGAGTTTTAATGAAACCATTAAAGTAGACTTCCCAGGACTTCCATGGTGGTGCAGTGGATAGGACTCCGAGCTCCCAATGCAGGGGGCCCAGGTTCAATTCCTGGTCAGAGAACTATATCCTACATGCATGCTGCAACTAAGAGATCGTATGCCACAACTGGGGAGCCCTTGTGCCACAACTAAGGAGCCAGCAATCCGCAACTAGGGAGGCTGCCTGCTGAAACTAAGGAGCCCTGGAGCCACAACTAAGGAGCCCATGTGCCGCAACTAAAGAGCCCACCTGCGGCAACTAAGACCTGGTGCAACCAAATAAATATTTTTTAAAAAAGATGTTTAGGGGGCTTCCCTGGTGGTGCAGTGGTTGAGAGTCCGCCTGCCAGTGCAGGGGGCGCGGGTTCATGCCCCGGTCCGGGAGGATTCCACGTGCCGCGGAGCAGCTAGGCCCATGAGCCATGGCCACTGAGCCTGCGCGTCCGGAGCCTGTGCTCTGCAACGGGAGAGGCCGCAGCAGTGAGGGGTCCGCGTACCGCAAAAAAAAAAAAAAAAGATGTTTAGGGACTCCCCTGGTGGTGCAGTGGTAAGGAATCTGCCTGCCAATGCAGGGAACACGAGTTCAAGCCGTGGTCCGGGACAACCCCACATGTCACGGAGCAACTAAGCCTTTGCAACACAACTAATGAGCCTGTGCTCTAGAGCCCATGTGCCGCAACTACTGGAGCCCGCATGCCACAACTACTGAAGCCTGCGCGCCTAGAGCCCATGCTCTCCAACAAGAGAAGCCACCGCAATGAGAAGTCCGCGCACTGCAACAGAGTAGCCCCCGTTCACCACAACTAGAGAAAGCCCATGCACAGTGACAAAGACCCAACGCAGACAAAAATACATAAATTTTTTTTAAAAAGATGTTTAAAATAAACAAAGTATACTTCCCTATCAAAATCACAGAGAAGATAATCACTAGACAAAAAGATAGAAACAAAAAACCTACTACTGAGTTTGTATTTTCCAAATCATACATGTGAGTTAACTCACATAATAAAGGCTGCCAGCGTTACAGATAGCCTGTGTTTATTACATGTTCCTCATAGGCAAAATAGGAAAATAGTGTGGTCTTACTTGTGAAATATGATTGATTGAAGACTCCATCCTTCGAAGTTGGGACGCCTGGATATCCAGCATCTGCAGGACATTGTTGGCCAAGGTATTTATCAGATAGGCAACACTTGCTAAGGACTGGGTGGTGTAGGCTTTGGTTTCTTCTAGGGCTCGCTGCTTATCTGCTGACTAGAAAAACAAACAAACAATCATTACTTCAAAGATAACCCATTCTATAGATCTAATCTTCAAAAATACTCATCAAAACCATTATGTTGCTGAATCTACACACACTAGTATAAAATGCTTTGAAAACTAGTTATCAGTATTCATGTAAACCCAACAACTAAATTATTCACTTGACTTCACTAATATTTTCACATTGTAGGTTCATCTTTGTACAGATGCAAATAAAATCCTGAAGCTGTTGTTTAAAAAATGAGATCCGATGGATATTTTGAGTAATGACAGCAAGTACAGTACATAGCTTCTCAAGGTCACTGCTTGGAAAGGTAGCATTGATTTGAATGAGTAAATTCTGGTGTACATTTTTCTACTTTACTGAATTCCTCTTTTCCTTTCACTCTAACATGTAAAATGCATTTATAAAGAAATGTCTGTTTAAAGTAATAATGACAAAATAATAATGATAAATAAAAATGATGAAGTAAATAAAATGGTAATAATCATGATAAATTAAAATAAAAGTAATAAAAGGACACTTTCTTCCCAAGCATCTTAAGTATTATAACCCTATGGAACATAAACTGCCACGTATCATAAACCCTACTTGAAAAACGGAGAGTACACAGTAAAAAGTGGTTAAGTGATTATTTCCAAGGTCACAAAGGAAAGCAATTGTAAAGTTACATATTCTATACTGCTGGCAAACACCATTTTCTTGCCCTAGTTCTACAGAAAGACTCTACGGTTCAGTAGAATGTACACAAGTGTCTGAATCAGAAACCTTTTATCTTAATGTCAGTTCTACTATTACAGCATGTCATATTTTAAGCAGTTGTGAACATCAAGTAAGATAATGAATGTAAAACCACTTTCTAATACTATAAATCATTATATCTAACAAACATCATTACCTCTTTGAGTAGTCATTAACTGTTCAAAGTCCACTATGTCCCACTCTCCCCTCTCCCACACCGTTTAGGACTCTAAACTTCTCTGGGACTCTAAACTTCTAAACTTAGCTTAGAAAAACAGTCAAATAAGAAAAAGACACAGACAAGGATGTACACTGACAGTTAATGGTGAAAAAGAAAAAAACATGAGACTGATTAAACAATACATTCATATACTACCTTTATGCAGTAATGAAAATAGTATTGTTATGTATTACTGATATGGAAAAATATCTATGAAATAACTAATTGAAAGAGAGCTGGTTACAAAGTACCTTAACACAATCATCCTAGTTTTGTAGGTGACTGTGTATAAATGTAAGCACGAGAAAAAAGTCAGAAAAAGGCCCAAAATGTTAACATAAGTTTTCTCTGAATGTTAGGAATGTAATTTGAGTCTTTTAATGATTTTTAATATGGTCTATTTTTTTTTTTACCTTGGACATAAATACTTGTTATCAGAAAAAGTAAAGCTATATTACTTTGTAAAACCATAATGCATGCATTAATACAAAAGAGCAAACTTTAAGTGCTCTGTCCTAGTCAACTACTCACAAGGAATATTTGTAAGGAATAAGAGCACCAAAACAATTTCTTTTTTTTTTTGGTTAAAACAATTTTTTTAATCCTTCTGAAATGTATTTTACATTTGCACACTTATTTAAACAATGATTTGGGGCTCAAGACATTTTTCTTGTTATTTCTAAGCGCCAAATGAAGCTTCAAAGTGTTGAGGCTGCTGCATGTCTGCTGTATGGATAAGTCAACCCTCGGACATTCACTAAGGTTTTATAAGAACCTAATTTTACAAGAGCGGATATTCTAAGTTTTAGAGTTTTGTGCTTGCTTCAGCAGCACATATTCTAAGTCTGAGATTGTTTTCCTATAAAGTTAAGTGCTGAATAAAAACCTGAATAAATGCAAACAGAACCTATTTAAATAAAACTGGTATCAAAATTGCTGCTTTAACCTAGAAGCCTTATAAATGACAATGGAGAAGCTACAATATCTTATTTTACATATAAGAAATAGTGAACAACACTAATAGAGGTTATTTTGTAATTCTTAAACAATGTATGATAAGTAAACACCTGGGACTATATTCTTATCTTTTGCTACAACCAAGTTTAATTATCACAGTTATAGTTCATGCATTAAAGGCACTATGACACCTCAACCCAGTTATCTAATATTCCTATTTAAATGGGATTAAGTTCCTGAAAAAAAGAAGAAATTTAGATAAAGGAGAAAATTATCATAGGCTTATAGAGGAATATTATAATGTATGCTATGGTAAGTACAAATAGTCCTATGAGAAAAGATTCTTACATAGAATAAAGTGACTTATTGCCAAGAGCCATCCTAGGCAATGATTAATCCTTCCTACTTTGTTATTTCTTCACTTTCCCTCATGATACTGACTTCTTATCTCTACAAGGGGATGTTTCCAAAGACTCTTGTCTTCAGACTACTCTTCTTGCTGTACTTGCAACCCTTAGAAAGAAATTTCACTCCTTCCTTAGCTATCACTTCCAAGCACAGAATTTTTAAATCTATTTACATCTTAACTTCCATCTCTCCCAAACCCATATTTCTGTTTACATGGCACCTCACCATGTATAATGTGCCGTATCAGTATATCTATAACTCACCACCTTCCCCAAAACTACTTCCTCCTACTTTTGTTAATAACATTATTACTCCATCACCTCAGATATTTTCCAAGTCTCTGTATCCTACACCTAATCCGTTTACATGATCCTTATATTCTATCTGTGCCAACATATCATTTCCTTTCTTTCAATTGCTACTGCCTACATTCTACTTCAGGCCCTCGTTATCTCTTGCCAGGACTACTATACCAGTTTCTAGGTCAGATTGTAGTATCTTACACGTGGTCCTGCAGATTCATCTTTTTAAATCAGTTCTGAAGCCCCCAGAGCTTCATCTTACCTACTTAAATAAAAAACTTTACTTATCATTTACAGTCTTCCTTAATATGGCCTAGAACTTATCTTCCATTCAACCCTACTTGAACCTTAGATTACAGTTTAATTAGACTTAACAGTTCACAAAACAGACCTTGGTTTCTTACCTTTGTGCCTTTGCCTATTCTCTTCACCTGAACCCATCAACTTCACCAACAACCCATCCCCTACCTTATCATCCCTGATTGTGATACTGATCATTTCTTACTGAGAATTCCCACAGGATTTTGTTTTCAGGTTTACAGCACATACTTTATAATATCGGGCTGGCCATAAAGTTCGTTCGGGTTTTTCGCAAGGTGTTACGGAAAAACCCAAATGAACTTTTGGGCCAACCCGATATGTGCATGTTTCATTGACCCAAACTCCCACACGCCCTAGTGGAAAGACCTTGAGGGTAAGTATTATGCTTTCACATCACATTACACACAGGCATTACATATTATCTGTTGAAGTGTATCTTCCAAAATGTTCCAGAGAATCAAAGTTACTTCTATCACCCAATAGGCAGTGAGGGTGGGGAGGAAGAAGTGATATAAGAAAGATTTCTTTGACCTCCAGAAGCTTAGGCACCATCCATGGTACTCATGCCTTACTGTGTACCCCTAAAAAGAAAGTTCAAACTTGTTTTTCAATTTGATGTTCTAGGATGGGTGCTGAGAAATATGAAGAATAAGAACGTTACACCCTCTAGAGCAGCTCAAGACTGCAGTATTATTACCACTAGGTTACTACCATTATTTATTTTTCCTTTTCACTTCTACTAATAGGAAAACAGATTTGGTAGAGATTTAAGTATATAGATAATGGGGAGGGGGCAGGAAAACAATGATAATATTTAAGACGGACATGTATGGACATGCAGGAGAGAATTCTCCTCTACAGATCACACCCTTGAGATCTACTGTCTGTTTCTTTCTCTTCTCCAGCAGTAAATCTCTCACCCACTCTAGTCCAGCCTGTTACTCTACCTGGAAAATATGTAATTATTTTTGCTCTGGGTATAAACTATTACCACATTAGTTAAAGTACAGGTACTAAGTTCTCATTCAATCAGTTATCTAAAGTATTAAACAATTTCTTCTACACCTGCCATGATTAATTTCATTTCATCAGTTCATTTCAATAAACCCTTATTGACTGAATGTATATTACATGACACACATTGTACTATGTACTAGAATATGAAAATGAAACACGTTCTCTGCACTCAAGAAGACTTTAGTCCAATACAGAGAAAAGCATATAAAATAGAAAATGTCAATGCAGAATGGTCAGGGATATGAATGCCATCCAACTAGGAACACTATCTTATATGACCATCCAAGTGGAGTCTCACAGAATGGAGTTAATCCTGCCAAGCAGGAGTAAGAGAAGATATTCCAGGCAGAGCAAACAGCCTAAACAAGGGCACAGAGGCATGAAAAAGATTCTTGAATCCAGAACACATGTAAGTTTGGTATTATTAACATATCATCAGTTCACTACTGCCCCTACTTTAAGACTGAGACGTGCTGAAATTTAAGATTAGTATAGTAACTAACCGTTTTCTTTCTCACAAAATTGTTACGAAATTAAAATATCACACATATAATTAATCTAGGTCATGGCAGAGTCATAGCACCTGATTCAATAATGGGGCTGAGGAGAGGGGAGTATTCTTAGATTACCTATTTACTGAGCTTTCAATTCTGCATTCCAAAAAATCTTGTTACTAAACCAAATTGAAAAGAAAGGTCCCATCACTAAATCTCACAGAAATTAAAGTAATAGCTTCTAAAATATATGCCAAGGGCTTCCCTGGTGGCGCAGTGGTTGAGAGTCCGCCTGCCGATGCAGGGGACATGGGTTCGTGCCCTAGTCTGGGAAGATCCCACAGGCCGCGGAGCGGCTGGGCCCGTGAGCCATGGCCGCTGAGCCCGCACGTCTGGAGCCTGTGCTGCGCGACGGGAGAGGCCACAACAGTGAGAGGCCCGCGTTCCGCAAAAAATAATAATAAAATAAAATATATGCCAATCATTATATACAAATAGAAAAATTTTGCCAAAAGACCATACAAAATATT